GCTGAGGCATACTGCATGTGCTCTGGGAAAGCCAGGAAGAATGCTGAGTGCCTGCAGCAGCGGTTTCACAACAGGTTTTAAGAGGGTAACCAACACTAGTGGTGCTGGGAAGAGGACAGACTCTTTACCTGCCAGAAGTGAACAAAAAGACTTCTGTCAGAAAATGAATTTAGGATGCATAACACTAGACCAGACCAGATGCTGGGCTTCTTGGCTTCAGAGGCTCTAGCAGCACAGTTATGTTTGAATAAAATAGTGCACCCCATAGCCAGTCTTCTTTTGACTGACCAAGGGGGACCTTATCAAAGCTTCCAAAGCCCTGGGCTAGGTTTGATATGGAGGTCATTGTTTGGTTGACTAGAAATCCCCAGTGTTTGTGCTTTAATATGAGGCAGAGTATTAGTTCTGGTCTTATGCTCAGTTATCCATGCATTGCGTTATATTTTACTGATGTGACTAAGCAGATTTAAAATCTAGCTATGGAGTAATGATTGGATACTGTAGTCACGGTCCAGGGAAAGTTGTCATTGTTTGCACTGGTACACTTTTTCCAAGCCAGTGCTAACTGTCCTGGAATTGGAATTGAGGTAATTCCTGTCCATAGGTAAAACACTTCTGTGTCTGACTGAGAGAAAGTTTTCCAAACTAAACCTTGCCAGCTGTAACTTCTGTTGCCTGGTTTGTCAAAAGACCCCTTCAAACATGGAGTTTTACTCAAGTGCTCTGGAGTGTTCAGCAGAGTTCCATGTTGCTCTTGGATCTGGGCCTGTTTTATCCCCTGACAATGAATACTTTATCTTGGTGGAAGAACTGAGGTGATCAAGTTTGGTAAATGCCCAAGAGGCACGTTGGATGTTAGAAGCTCCACTGTCAGCAGTATAGAGGTTTGCGGCTTGGTTTTTGTAGCTCTAGTCCTGACATTCAGGAAAAAAGAGGTGGAGAAAGAATGGGAAACACCAGTGAAAGGGGCAAAGGAAGGGAAAAAAGGCAATGGTTGCTGTCTCTCCTAGAACCACCCTGAAATTTTTCCATCTACCTCCACAGCATGTGGGTTTCCATGTTTCTACTTTTCTGCTCTCCTTTCCTTCCAACAGGCTTCCTGATGGCTGTTGTCCCTGAGCTGCCATTGGCTTGAAGTTAGTGTCAACATATTAGTGAGTGTAGGACTTGTACTCTCACATGTACTCTGCTGAGGTGCTTTTGCTGAAGGCATCACTGAATCTAGTTCTAATGTTCAGAATTCAGACACCCTGTCCTGCTTCTGTTCTGCTGAGCCCTGTGTATCTTTTACCTTCTCAGGTGCTGTTCACGAGCCTTCCCGTGGTCCACGTGTACGCAGTGAGCACGACAGCGCCGAGCGACGCGAGGAGGCAACACGGAAATGTGTACTGCTGCCCTGTCTACAGAAAGCCTCGGAGAACAGACCTGACCTACATCTTCTCTTTGCATCTGAGAACAGTGCAGAACCCTGATCACTGGACTTTGAGGGGCGTTGCACTGCTCTGCAGTTCGAAGTAAGGATGGACAGCTATGGAAGAAAGAGGCACCAAGTAGGACTAAACTGTAGCAGTGTTGCATTGTTATTGCCAAAGTGGCAGCTGCCTTCTCACAGTGGGGTGGGAATTGGCAGGTGATACACAGAGATTATGTTAGTTGCACATAAATTACTCTGTTCACAGCAAAAATACTACATTTATTTACCCTGGGAATATCACAGGGAAAACAGCTGCAGGTGTAAATTTGGCAACTCTTATAAAGCAAGCAAGAATATAATCAACTAACTTGCTCACAATGGAAGCATTACATAAAAAAGCGCTTTATGATATTGACAACTGTTCTGACATCTTATGGTGGTTCTTTTGGAGATGTTATCTTTCTTTTCAACACAATAATTTTTCATAATACAATATAATTATTTTAAATTCAACTTTGTAGTTAAAATCTCATCATCCATAGCATTATTAAAGCTGTAATGACAAGATAATTAAATGCATGGTAAAGTTTTATGTTTATCTGCATATATTTCAATATACAGTTCCTTTGATTTTGCATTTCTAAACTTGCTGGGTGGTTTTACTAATGGCTGCGACCATTTACTTGCCTCTCATGCCTTTTTTTACAAAAGCGAACAGTCGCTTTTTAATACAAACAATCATAGAAACAGAAGTGTTTATCTTTGCACAAGTACCTTTTGCACCTATTAACTCATTTCTACACCTATATCCACTTGTAAGGAAGGTGTGCACACGCCCCATTATTAACAAAAAGAAAGGTTTTAAAGTTTTCGCAGAGTAAACACATCTGAACACCACTTTTGCTCTATTAGTACTCATTCTGTTTGCATTAGTGCCTGAATCCTGCAAACTCAAACCTCTTAACTTCTTTTTGTTCTGTATTTTGCATCAGTTTATTTTAAAAAAAGAAGACGACACACAGCCCATACTTCACCTGGAATGGCTGAAGTACTTTTGTGTTAACCAAGACTTCTGTCTACCCTGTAACTGAAGGATGAGTGAAATTTTTTTTAATAGACAAATGGCTATTGACAGAATATGTGTTTGGCTTCTTTCACTAGCACAAATTCAAAGCAAAAGAAATTGTTGTTGGATGTTATGAAAGAAGGACTTGCAGTCAGGACTTTGTTAATTTTTTTTTTCTCCTTGTAAACACTTCTAATTTTTGTATAGCAAGTGTCTAAGAAAGCAGTTCATCCCTTTGCACAGCCAGTTTTACTCTGCAGTTAGCAGCTGTGAGGTTTCTTCCATGAGGAAGTTTGATATTCACACTCACACCCACAACGAAGTACAGAGCGCCAGCTTTCTTCTGGGAGGACAGAGCAGACAGGGACAGGGTCCCTTTTTTCCATTTAGCTAGGAGCAACAGTGCTGGCAAGATTATAGTTTCAAGTGAAACCAACTGTTCCAAAAATGTACACCAGACCTCCCTGCAGTGCAGCTGTACATCAACCAATTTCATTGAGAATTTTTTTTTCTGAGAAGGCTGAAGGATTTGGCTTCATGATCATTGATCTTGGAAATTATGAAAAAGATGGGGGAGACTTCAGGCAGCAAAGGTCTGTGCTGTTCCACAGAAACTGAGGTTGCAAGCCATAGTGCTTTCCCCCTCCCCTACCTTTATAAGGGGATATGAAATAATTTAACTTTGATCTCTTGGTACATGTAAAAGTCAGGTCAGTAACAGTGATAGTAATTTAAAATAAAAAATGTGCATTGAAATACTTTGCACAACAGAAGAACTCACTACCTGCTATGAAATAAGTCATGCTTTGACCAATTGCAGCTAAAAGTAAACATAAAAACCCAAATATTTGATAGATGTTATATCTGGTGCTATGTGATATGCTCCATGGAAACCACATCACTTCTTTGTCAAGCAAAATGAGAAAATTAAATGCTATATGAAGAAAATCTGTAGGCAATGATATTATATCACATAGTGTTCTGCTGTATAAAAATGCAAAGAAATAGCTTATTTGAACATCAAAATTTTCATTTCAATAACTAAACCCTGTTTATCAGTTTAGAAAAATGTCAAATCTTGCAGAACAGAATGCCGGCCATATGACTGAAGAACCACAAAAATCATACAGTATTTCACTGAAGATAGCTAGAATTTTATACAGAACTGACGAACATAAAGTGACTTTGCTCCAAGAAGGCTTCTTATCACTAGTAAAGAACCTAAACAAAACCTTCAGTATATTCTACAAGCAAATGCTCTTTCCTTTTTGCATGTGATTAGAATAGAGTGGAGATGAACAATTTACTATTGACAGAAATGTGTTCCTTTCCCCATCTCCTTCTCTTGCTCTATCCTGCCCTTCCACTCAGTGGAGTTGCTGCTCCCAATCTGACAACATTAATTTGATTTGAAATGTCACTGATACAGTAAAACATTGACCTTCCCCAACCAGTGTTCCCTAGTCACTATTGCTAAAGCTGTTTCACTTCAAGTGGGAGGTACACCAATCTAAATGAAAGAACTGGCAGGCAGAATACTTGAAATCAAACTAATTATATTTGAATGATAGATTAACAATTAGCTGGAAGTCTTCAAACAATGTATATAGATAACCAAGTTATGTTCTTCTGTTAAAATGAACCCGAAATATTAAATACAATCATACAGCTTTTGGCAATATTGTACAAGTTTCACACAGATAGTAAATGACTAACATTGCTTTAGGTAAGTGCTTTGAAGGCAACTCCATTTAAGAATGAAGAGAGCAATACAGTCCTGCACCCATGTCACTGTAGCAGTCATGTTTACAAACATATCTGATGTCAGGGCACTGGCTCCTGAGAGTTGCAAATAAACAGCATTCCATAGTCCAAAGGGTGTCTGTCTCATAATCCCTGAGGCTGTGACTGGTCAATAATGACAATGATAGGAAAAAAAGAATTGGGTAATGGATTGGCCCTGTACATCTGTGACTTTGCAGGATAGATTTTAATTGCAGTGAAGCTCAGAAAAAACACAGAGTGGAAAACAAAGCAATTCCCTTGTCTGGTCAGTTATATTCATAAAACCTATGATCCTCTGTAAAGAATAATTTTCTAAAAAATCTCAAGGAAACTGTAGTTATAATATTCCAATTTTTCTCTCAATTTATCCAGAACCTACTCATTCATCTTATTCCACTTTTACTGCTTCATACAGTTGCCTTTCTCACAATCTCCTCTTTCCAAAACATGAATACGATACCTCCTTCCTTTTTCCTTCTGCTATTCCATATTTAATGTGTTTTCTTTTTTATTCTTTCTCCATAAATTCACAAAACACATTGCTTACTTACAATGAACCTTCCTATTCCAGAAGTCTGGAAATAACCTCTAGTCATTTCAGGAGTTTCTCTTTTCTACTAAGAAAAACACAATTTACTCTATAAAAAACCCTATAATTCCTGCCATATTTTTCCATACCATGGGTAAAGCAGGAATTTGCTCTTCCTGTTTTTCTGTGAGGGTCCTTAAGTAAAGCAGGAATTTGCTCTTCCTGTTTTTCTGTGAGGGTCCTTAAGTGATAATATTTGTACAGCTAAATGACATTTTCCATAGTTCTTCCTCTTGCTAATATAAAGTAATAGCAAAGTAATGGCTTTGTTATTGTTTTCTGATTAGATGAGTTGGTATAACGTAATGGAAATAAATTTATACTGTTGCATATGAAACGATGAGAGTGAGTAGGCTGTAAAGTGACTGCTAAATCAATCTTGGAAATGCAGCAGATTCCCATCTCCCTTTGACACTGTGAGTTCCATTGGGGTTAACAATGGCTATCGGCACACGCCGAGACACAGGGGGAGCCCCTTCATTCAGTTTGCATGGCTTGACTTTTGTCACGAAGACAACACTACAGACATCTATGTGGATGGCAGAACAACACCAACACAGGTTTGTGATAGAACACAAATTCACACATTTTTCTAAAGCTGAGTGAGTACATACTGTGTTCTCTCTTGCTCAGTGAGGACAGTATGGGGTGTGTGCTCATTGACTCCTTATACTGATTGCTTTAAGTCTAGCAAAGGGACGTCATCATCACCTCCTCCTCCTCCTTCTTTTCTTTCCTGCTTAAGGACAACTTCTGGGATAGTCACCCCTCTTTCAGTTGACTGGGAAGCACCTTTTGTTGCACTATTCTTGTCTTTCTTTACCTTAGTGATCACTTCTGTGTAAGAGATTTCTTCAGTGAAGGGCTCTGCTGCTGGGAGCTCAGAGGCGATGTGTACACCGGCTTCCTGGATCCCCTCCTGACCTTCGGCTCCTGTTCGCTCTTTACCTTTTTTATGGATCTTGAATGTCTCCTTTGTTGGAGCAGCCTGTGAAATGGTTTTCTTGATCCTTATTCCAGATTGTCTCAGTCTCTCTCCTGACTGCCTGATCCTCTCTCTTCTCTCAGGGGTTACTATTCTTGTTTGAAGCCTGTTTACCTTCTTGCCAAAATTTTGCCTTGTCTTTTGGATATTTTCCCTTGAAAATGCCTTTTTGATGTCATCAATGCGCCTCATGCCTGATTTCTTGAACTTGGTTGCTTTGCTTTCTTCGATATAATATTCTTCATCAGAAGACAGATCATCAGGTGGGAAGAAATCATCCTCTATAGTTTCACCTGGTGTCATCTCTTTGATAACAGAGAGAGATGAAGGACACTCGGTTTCCTCCTGTGAATTAAAGCAGAGAGTCATTTTCCAGCATGTCTGTTTCAAAAAGATGGTGGTTCAAGCTTTTTATTTTTTTTGGTTGGCTTGCAGTTACTTAGTCCTAACTGAAATCTAATACTGTAACAAAGTAAGGTAGGCTTGTACCATCATACCCAATCTATGCAGAACACAAATGGCAAAAGAAAACTGTGCCAAGTTCTCTAAAGATATTATATCCCTGATTAAAGATTTCGTTTCACTCTGGTTCTACCTGAAATTAATTAATGCAATGGTCCTATGAGTCCTGGCCTCTAATGGTTTTCAGACCAAACTTGTCTAGGTTTTTTGGGTTTTTTTTTGCACTTATCTGCTGCTCTGGATCAGACCTAGATCCATTATTCCTCACCAATAAAAGCAGGCACTGTAGACAAAAAAGGCTCTTGGAATTGTGTCAGCTGTACGCTATCCAAGCAAATATCTCAATGATACAAGTAGCTTCAGTCTACTGCTATTACCAAGACAATTGTGCATTTTTGACTGTTTGGAACTTAGCAAACACTGCTGTTGCTGCCCAGAAGGGAAAGGCTCCCCCGTATTAACTTACATGGGCTGGCTGCTCAAGGGCACAAATCAGTAAAGCAGGCAGATGTTATTTGGTAAACCCAGTAGCACACAATTCATTCAGCACCTGCACCATCACTGAGGTGAACATGATTTATTCCATCTGGAAATGTATGATATTCCTGAGTAAGCATCTCTGTCTCCTGTGGTGAATTTGGTGGCCTGTTTGAGCATGCAGAATCAGAATTATATATTTATATGACACATCTAATGTGTATCAGCAGCATGCTTGGAAATGGTGACTATCCTAGATACCTTAGCCCTAGGAATTCATTCAGCCTCTCCAAAGAAGAATTGCTAGAGGCTCAAAGCTCAAAAACATGGAAGACTTCCAAAAACTGTCCACAGTAAACAAAAAAATTTACCAAGAATGAGCTAGTGGTTAAGGATCACTGAGAGGAAAAAAGAAAAAGGGAAAAATGTTTATGGCAATGAAAGATTTATATGAACAGAGAGAATCTTCTAAGAAAGCTGTTTCCCTGGTCTGCATGGACAGTACAAATTTGTGGCTCAGTGTCAGTGAGTTCTATCTAGAAGTGCAGTGCATGCAGAGCAGAAAAACTGTACGTTGTAGGAGGGGTCTGAGATAGACAATGCCACCTCCTTCTTCCCTATCAGCTTTTTACATAGATGTGCCTGTGCTGTTCTCCCAGGAGGAGCAGCCCCTTGGGCTGCAAACAGCTGTATGTACAACAGCTGTGTGACACTTGTCTAAGCTGTTTCTCATTAGTGCTAACCACAACAGCTGATTTCTCGGGCAAGGCAGCGCCAGGACTCTACCCTTAGCATTATCATTCTAATGTAGACAATAGGAGAGATCTTGAAGCTGTGAACCCATGAATAGCAAGTACGGCCAACTGAATATTTTGCTGTGAACTTCTTTCCGGCCAAAAAGATGTCTGTCATTTTTCACAATGGCTCATTAGTAGTGAGTCATGTTATTTTACATAAAATAACATACATTGAGCTATTTGACAGAGAAAGCCCACTTAAGAGCCTCTCATCATGCCTTGGCTTCAATAAAAACCCTTTACTAAAATAGTTGTTAATGCTTACAAAAAATAGGGACAAATTATGTTACATTGATTACAGCAGAATGTTGTTCAACTCATCTGTCAAAATCAGCAGGAACAAAACTACAATGCTTTGCTAATAATCTTCATTAACGTGCAAATTAACATTAATTATATAAAGACTTCTACACATAAACATAATCTCTTTTTTCCTGAAAATTAACTAAAAACACAGCTGGATAGTAATTTCTTAAAATGTTTTTAAATTATACCCTGTTCCTTCAGCTGAAATGGTAACAAAACTATTTCCAGAATGAATATTCTGAAATTTCAGTACATACAGAGACGAATACAATATGGGGAGAGGAATATGCCTTTCATATGAAGATTACTTTTTAAAAAGACGGAAGGCAGAGACACTATTTTCTCTGAAATATTTGTCTTCCTTTGGAAGAAGAATTTGTCTGTACTTTTTGTCAATTGCTAGATTTTTATTGTGTTTACTTTTAGTCTGTTAGCTACAGAACAGAGCACTTTATCTTTCCTACTCACGTTAGAATCGAAAGTTATGAACAAGAACATGTGAGATGAAGATCTTGTAGATGAGACACAGAAACTAGAGCTGCATGCAGATCCTGAGAAACATTTTCATTCTCCTACAGTCTCAGCATGAACTTTGCCAAATCTTTGATTTTCTTCTTTTCCTTGGTCTCTGCACACATCTTGCAGAATCAAGTGTAGCAAGGCAAAAGATTAGTGTGAGTTTCTATCTCCTCTCAAAATTTCTGGATGTTACCGAAGTGGAAAGTATTAGTGAGCCTGCCTAGCATGTTAGGAAGGTTTCAGAATAAAAATTCAGTGATTTAGGCTCAGTAGGTGAGCTTTTTCATCTGCTTCATTTCTCTCTCTCCTGCTCCTAACCCATTTCTTCTTATCACTAGATTTCCATGGGGCAGAGAGAAGAGAGGAGCTCGTCCTTCCTAAGGCAAGAACAAGAAGCTTTAGTACCAAGTGGGACACAGACAGAGTCAAAGCATGTAGCTACCAGCTCCTTTAAAAGCTCACTAAAACCAAAAGACCAAACACCTACTGATTTCAGCAGCACAGAACAAAGTCCTAAATTGGGTGAGCTTTCTCCTTGTCTATAAAGCAGATGGGACTGGGAATAGCAGGATTGGGCAGTCCAATCTTTGGGGAGGATGAGAAGGGAGTTGAGCCATTGATGATGCTGCTTTCAAGATTTTTGTTAAAAATCTGCTTAAGCATTTTGCTAGGAAGAACTTGTACCCACCACCATCACCACTCATGGGAGGTAAGGGAGGGTCTAAAGTGAGGACAGGAGATTATTTCACAGTAAAACATTATACCAAGCAGTCAATTTTTTTTAACATGATTCTTTGAGGAAACAGGCATGCAGTCATAGGGGCTGTGTATGGATTAATATATAGGACGTGTACTCTGCTTGCTTCATCTACTGAAAACCACAAAAACATGCAGAGGCCAGAATCAGAAAACAAATCTGTGAAAGCTGAGCATTCCCTTTCCCTTTTATCGCTCTTCCTAGAAGGAGCACCTGCAGAGGGTGCTCACACTGGTTCTTGTGCGTTTGTTTGCCATAACTGCTCATTGGACGTAATCTCCTGAAATGTTATCCACCACTCAACACACTGCAAACAGACTTAGCTCTTTCAAACAGAACAATATTTTTTCCTTCTCTTCCAAGAAAAAAGTTGGTGAATCTGTCATGTAAGTGTTTGATTTGGAAGTTGTCTTTGATTTGTACAAGAAGTGTAATACACATGCTCATATTATGCATCTCCCACCTTCTCACCCTTACATGGCCCCTCCACTAACACAGAAACATTCAGGCATTTTCCACCAAATTGAGAATGGAGCTGGGTCCTGACACAAAGAAATAAGTGCTCTCCTGTGAAGCTGGCTGTGGTTCTGAGTCATTCTGTCTGTCCCTCCCAAGCTTGTTCATCTGAGCAAGCATGCCATGGCTCAGGTACCTTGCTTGTAGAGCTTAAAATTTTCAGGGGATAGCGGGGCTGAGAAGAGAAGTTGTGTGTCATGAATGGGTGTAGGAGGAGGGAGGGGACAAATTAGTCAGATTAGATGGTATATTGAAACTGGAAATGTTTTGGGGAAATGTTTGTGTCTGCAAGGACATGAAGCCTGAAAGGAGAAAGACTTCAGGTTTTGTGGTAGCAAAGGAGGGACTGAAAGCATAGGTTGAATGGTAAGGGAAAATCCTGGAGACCTTTGCAGTTGTAGGTGCAGGGTATTTAGATCCACTGCTTAAGGAAAAGCTTTAATAGACAAAGCTTTGAGGTATAACACCCTAACAGAACAACTGCACAATTCAGGAGTGGCTGGTAAAGCCCCTAGCATGGCAAGTTTGCTAAGAAAGCATCTTAAAACTGAAGTTTGTTTTTTCCAATTTTTTTAGTATTTAACCTCTCAAATATGTCTAGCCAAAGAATTTTGAGTTCTTAAGGCCCAGGCTGAATACAAAGTAAACATATAAGTAACCCTCAGCTTTGATAAGAAGGCCAGCATGGCACTGAAACCTAACAAAGTCTGACTCCATCACTGGTATTTTCACCCCCTGCTCTCATTTCAATTTCATTCACAATTAGAAAATTTTCAAGTGGACCTAGCCTGTGTCTTTCAAACCCTCCTTCTGCTCCTCAAACTCTCCATCAGCTGCCAGAATTCTGGCTGCTCAGCACCCATGGGGGCGGGGGGGAACAGTGAGCATTTTGCAGGCACTGCAGGCATATTCTAACCACAAGGAAGGGATCAAAGCAGTAGCATTTTTTCCCATAGGCTATAGTAAAGCATTTATGAGAGAAGGCTAGTGCACCTGCTTCTCAACCATGCAAAGGGAAACGTGCTGACTTTTCCACCGTGCTCAAATCTTAAAACTAGTAGGTAAATAACCTTAAATGTGGCAGTGCCTCTAATCAACCCTATGAGACTCACAGGGTGGCAATGCTTGGATAATTGAAGCACGCAGGGGAAGAGGCTGTTTCAGAATGTGCCTGCTTGATAACCCTGCCTGCACAGCCAGGCTCTCCTCTTCTCTGGGAAGAGAAAGGGGCAAATGGCAGAGCAAATTGTTTAGCAATGTCTCAGGTATTTTGCAGCCGTGGTGTCCTGGCAAGGATCAGGCTGGCTCTTAAAGCAGCCTTCCCTTACTGCTGCCCTAGGGAGCCAAAGGGGGCTGCTGGAAGAATGTCATGCCTTCAGCAAGGACTGCCAGGCTGGGAAAAGAAAAAAGGGTTGTTGAAAAGATTCCCTCACAAACTTACTAGATAAATTTCCACTCTTTGGGAGCACAGATGGGATCAATAATTAATAGCAGCAGTACTTTTATTTTCC